GCGCTGTCGGGGTGCTCCATGCGGAGTGTTCTGAAGAGAGGGTGAGGCGGTGCGGGTCCTCCCTGGACGGCTGGGGTCCAAGGGAGACGCCGGGCTGGCACTCAAGCCTCCCGTAGTTCAAGCCGATGGAGGGGAGAGATTGGATGGCGGCGTGGGCCAACACCAACTCTCCTCCCACCGTGACGATGAAGTCCAGGTCACCGAAACGCACGTGTGCGCCCGGGACCCAGCTGATTGCGTGGTTAGCCATCCGATGCCTGATTTGGAACGCGCAAAGGCCCCTATCTGGCGCGCCAACTGTCGGTGTTTCGAATAAACACCAACTAGTAAATTTATATTTATTGCGCGTTAGGCCCGGATGGTGTGCTTAAAGGACACAAGGTTTATACTGGTTTGGGCCAAATGTCCCTACGTCCAGTCTGCTGCTGCTCGTGTTATTAGCACCGAAAAAGATTCGTAGTAGGAGGTACAAACGGTCGAGAGAGAGACAGGTCCCAAATCTCTGATGGAAAGGTCGAAAGGATGCCAAGAGCTCGGTTGCTGCTTGATTGTATGTTGTGTATGTGCTGTGTGTGAAATTGATCTGTCTCCTTAGTGGGGTGTCCTGTCCTCCCTTTTATAGACCAAGGGGGAGCAGGGAATACAGATGGGGGAAAGAGGAAAAACCCAGAGGGTAGAGAAGGTCCTTCGAAGGAGCTGGGTCTTCCTTTCCCCTGTGCCTACCCTGCTAACATGATAGACCATGTCAGGGATGGTGTGTTCGCTGATCTTCATAGGGCCATGCCCTAGCCTCATCCAGCAAGTGGGTACGTCCCATCCTACATCGACGGACGGTGCAGAGTGCCAGGGAGCCGAGCTGTGACCCTACGGGGAGTAGACGGGGAAGTGACTATATGTTTGTTGTTGTAGATGATGTGAGTTCTCTCTTGGATTGTAGTGGTTGTCGCATGCTTGTGTCAGGATCCGTGTCCGAGGGCTGATGGCGGTGCCCACAACACTGTAAGACCAAAGTCGGTGCCTACAACACTGTTCGGGCTCTGCCATGCCTAGAAGGGCCTAAAGCGCCCATCCTGTCGTATCCTGACGGTACCTTCTTGTAGGTGCGCAGGGCATGGTCCTCGGTACCGCGGTTGACCTGAGTGTCGTGTCTCACCCTGTGCTTCATCATTATGAAAGGGCAGGGTGAAGACGTCGGGTGAGGCGGAGCCTGCCCTCAGACATCGGGCGAGGCGAAGCCAGCCCTCAGCCGTCGAGCGAGACGGAGCCTACCCTTAGTCGTCGGGCGAGGCAGAGCCAACGCTCAGCCGTCGGGCAGCCCTTAGCCGTCAGACAAGGCGAGCTAGCCCTCAGCCGTCGGGCGAGGCGGAGCCTGCCCTTAGCCGTCAGGCGAGGCAGAGTCTACCCTCGGACCATCGGGTAAGGCGGAGCCTGTCCTTAGCCGTCGAGCAAGGTCAAGCCTGCCCTCGAACCGTCGGGCGAGGCGAAGCCTGCCCTTAGCCATCGGGCGAGGCGGAGTCTAGCCCTTGGGGGTCGGGCGAGGCGGAACCAATCTACCGTCGTTCGGGCAAGAAGTGTAGTAGCGTTCTTGTCTGAACGGAAGCGTCAACGCTTGATGGTTGTTAGCCCCATCTCATTGGGTACCCCAGTATTAGGTCCCCGACACTAGTAATGAATTGATTCTTAACACATGTGGCTAATATTTTACCCTTTACCTCGAGAATCACCGCTATGGACGTGGTGATTCTAAAAAAACAATCAAACTCTATAACAAATCGTATCCACTCCTACATATCTCTAATTGACCATAAACCTATTCCTAAGTCTTTCTAATCCAATCCCTTAAGATAATATATGGCGCCTGCGCTGCTGGCACCATATCATAGCACAAGTACGTGAAGATAAACTCCTGCCTTAAGTAAATATTATTCTAGCCAAAACCAAAACACACGGTTTGAAGAAGGGGTTAGAGAAAGCAAAGGTATTTTTCTTACCCCCATATGATTTGATCCAAATGGGACTATGGGAGGGATACATACAATCCCTCGTAGATGCGTTTCTATTGGGATTATATTATTTCCGTGCTAATAACCAAACATGGCCATAGAGATATAGTCTTGGATTTTCCACGTGTTCTTTAGGAAGTAAGAACATCTCCACCATATCTTTTATACTCTTTCCTATCTCTTAAATAGAAAATATAACAACTGCAGGAGATCTCCTACCGCATCTCTTATCCCTATATTCTTTAGCAAATCTCCTAAATCTACCACCATCTCTCCTAAAGAAAGGGGGGACCTCTCCCTCTCCTAAGTCCTAAATCAGGTTGATATTTTGGCAATCTACTCAAGCAAAGGTCTCCAAGAGTACCTAATATTTTCTTCCAAAAATATAGAGTTTTACAACTACTAAAGAGTATTGGAAGGAATAAAGAAGGCCATCTCCAAGAGTTTCTAATAATCCACTCCTAAAATATAGAAGACAATTTTATATTTAAAATACTATACTGTTTTTAAATTATCCTAACCACTTTTGTATATTCTTTCTCTTTTGTATATTTGCATCAGGAACCATTCTCTGCTCTTTATTCTTTCCACGTCCTTCCACCTTTAGATTAGCCGACAAACACGGGTGGGGAGAGAAGATACGCGCGACTCGTAAGCGCGTAACTTTACGCGGAACATGGTGATTTTTTCCAAGTTCTAAATGATTAGGATGATGGATTAGGAGTTGTTGGAGAGGAGTTTTTTCTCATCTTGCTAAAAAACAAAGATTAGGAAGAAATTTAGAAAACTCTTGGATATGCTCCTAAAGTTATCTTTGAGATCTCCTATAACTAGTAGTTCTATATAGGGGAGAAGCAATACGAGATCTGGTGTCCACGAGATATCCTATATTCTCTCTCCTATAATTAACTATAGGAGATCTCTCAAAAACATTTTAAGGATATAGGAGTGCAGCATGCAGTAGGTTACTCAAATCCCAATCCTTAGTATCTATCCTGACATGTGGTGCCCACATGTCATAGTGAGATTAAGAAAAGAAAGAAGAGGAGGGGCATATGTGCAAGATGTGCTTCTTCGTTGTAACGTCTATACGGATCGTCACCATGGTTGGTTGGCAAATCATGTATGGGGTCGGCTTGGCCAGTGGGGGAAGGCTCAACCAAGCCTGGGCCGGGGCCGGGGATGGCCGTAGGCGGCAGGAGTAGTTGCCGACTTTGGCGAGACAGCTCACGGTGGTGGCGCACTGTCCTATGTGCCATCTTCCAAGGAGCAGATTGGCTAATTTTCCTAACGCACGCACACTCAATTCTATAAACACACACACTCATAACGCATGTACACTCATTCCTAACGCACGCACACTCATTTATGTAAACACATACATACAAACCAGTAAATCCTCGAGATTGACGAAGTCACCATAGGCTTCTCGCTGTCGACATGAACGTTGTCTACCACTAAAAACATAACGTCGTTAAATCATGGAATATGTGCTCCTACAGGGAGTCGAACCCTGAGGTACTACTGAGGCTCTCATAACCATTAGGCTACAGCCAATTTCATGCATGCTTCTGTCCTATCTTTAGATGAGAAGGGAAGAAAATTAGAAGAATTTTCAAAAATATAGGAAAAGAGGATATGATAGGAGATCCGGTAGAGCTATCATTTCTCCTATATTACAAAGTTTTCAGTATGGAAGAGGGGATATGATATTGGGTGAGATGCTCTACGGATTATTAGATTCATGAGGCGATCTAATTAATTTGTAGAGGATTCTACTATAACAAATATTTTTTTTTGTTAGGGCTTTGGCTTTTTCCAAAAATAAAAAAGGCATATTTTTTTGGCTTGAGCTTCTATGCTAAAATGGCTTCGGCTCTATCAATTTTTGCTTGATTTTGGTTTTATAAGTCGTTTTCACACGCAAGTGTTTGGCGGGGGCTTCACCAAAAGAAGCCAGTGAAACCACTTGATGGTGAAGCTCCTCCGGAAGTGGTGCCAAAAAGAGGGCCAATAATAAAAATAAAATCTGAGGTAAGTGCATGCAACTAGCGATGGAGAAGGCACCCGGCGGGCGTGACTCACGATCCCTATCCATTCAAACACGTGTGATAAACAATGGACACACATAAACAATCGACCAGCTAAGGCCAGATCGAGTCCTAGTTTTCCCTTTCTCTTTGGACTTTTAGATCAATGTGGACGTTGCAAACTGTCTTCGTCTTTTCGTCTATATTTAATGCTTCCACGCACGCCCACAAACATTCGACACACACCGTACCGTGATCAATGTGGACGTTGCAAACTGCAACGTCACCAAGGTCTCTGTACCGTGATCATGTGATGCAGGTCACCAAGGTCTCACACATATGTGCAGGCAGGCACACATACTCCGTAGTTTGGATCTCCGATCCCTACCTAATCCAGATCCATATACACTGTAACTCTTGCCTCGGCAGATTAGAAAAATAATTAGGACGGCCGATCTCCACCTAATCCACGTGCGTTTGCACGGTATAGATCTGCATGTTCCAGGTTCATGGCTCATCAGGTATCCAATAATGACACTATTCTGTAGCGGAGGACCTAACTAGTTTAAACCAGTAGTACAATCCAGTGCTGACATGTGGCTCTATTCGCTTATCTTATAATCTGTACTTTTTGGTTTGTCTTTTCAGCCGGATCAGTGTTTTTCTCTCACAACAAATCAGTCGGAACAGTGTTCCAGCTTGTTTTTTTAGCGAAGCGAAAGGGGCCAGGGCATATTATTATTATTCATTCAAGTTGGCATGTACTAGCTAGTATGCATGGATCTGCGATGCTGATCTATGGCCATTGGCCAGCAGCTGGCTACTTAAGCAGGGTCGCCCGTGGATGTTGTGTGCCACTGCAACGCCACCCATTGGCCATTGCACTGATAGACGATCGAGTTGTGTGTTCTTAGTAGCTAGAGTGTTCGGTTTTCACATCCCTGCTGCTTTAACCAACCGAGCTAGCATGGCAGGACGCTGGGCAGTGCTGCTGCCCTCCTCGGCGCTGCTTCTGTGGATCGTTTGCTCCTGCAACTGTAAGTACTCCTCTCTGGCTTTTCTGCCCTGGTACATGCACGGACGCATTCGTGTGATGAAGTTCTTTATGGAATTGTATATTTTTATAACTTATCTTTTTGTGTGTGTGTGAAAGTTAATATGTTTCTCTATAATTTTAGTCAAATATATATGAGGTGAGTTGACTTAGAACAAATGAAAATACAGGATGGAGTGATCGAGTACCTCGTAAGAAAGAAGAAATGATTCTAATCATCCAATCTCTAATTGAATGAACAGCTCACAGCTATTATTTAGAAATACCATAACAAAGCTCATAATTGATATATATATAACCTGTGTTCCAAATTAAATGCATGAAGGGGCGCTACTGAGTGTGGCCGCGTCACCGTATGGCGCCAACATGACTGATCTTATGCGCCATGTGGAGTTCTTTGACGAGGACAGGGACGGCATTCTTACTATTCCGGAGAGTACTAAAGGTGCGTATATACGCGTGATAATTAACTTCCTTAATAACTTCTTTTTTTTGAAAGGTTTTTGAGTTCTTTAACTCACCAAAACTCTGTTTAATTTCTAATAACTTTGACGATATATATATAATGTATATGAGCAGGTTTTATTGCGATCGGAATGGACCCTGCCTTCGCACTTACCATGGCCACAGCAACCCATGCTGCTTTCGGTCCTTTGACAACCCCTGTACGTACGGCCACTCTCGCTCCCTTCATTTATATGTTCATATATACTACTATATAAAGAAGCGCATACTTGCTATTATGTTTTGTATGATGTGTTCCCTTGCTCTTGCTGTATTGTAGCCTGGAAAATTACCGAGCGTAAATATCCATGTGTCCCACATCAACGGAGCAGTCCATCCAAGTGACTCGGGTGCCTACGATAAGAAGGGAAAGTATGTACAGCACTCTCTAATCTAACAAACACCTCGCTCGTCTCGATCTGCACTTTTGTATTACCATGACTTAATTTGTATTACCATATAACTTCATTTACACAGTAGACACAATTGATTAATTGATTTACAACTCTCATGTTTCAACTTTTCACTCAGTTTTGTCCCCAAAAAATTCGAGAGAATATTCCAGAAGTTTTCTCACAGCGAGGAGGACGCCTTGTCATGGTTGGAGGTAGAGGCGATGCTCATCGCAAACAGGGACCTTCTTAGACCTCTATCATGGTACGTAATTTATTAGTAAAATTTCTCAATTTATTGAATCAAATGAACAGCATCAATCAAATCAAAATAATAAATAGCTGATGGATGATGGACTTGCATGCATGCATATGCAGGCCGGCGGCTGAGACGGAGTGGCAGCTGATTCACATGCTGGGCAAGGACAGGCACGGGTACCTCCACAAGGACACCCTCAGGGGCGTCTACGACGGCACCGTCTTCCCCAAGATGCGCGACCACACCATCGACCCCCATCTTACTGGTCACAGCGACGCCTGAGGGATCCTCCGATGGGTTCTCGCGTTCTGCTAGCTGGTGGTGGTGCAATAACAGCGTACCGTGTGCAAGAGTGCACCATACACCCAATTTACTTAAAGGGTACGGTGATTTAAGTCTTGTGTAACGAATAAAATTAGGCAACCACACGCCGCAGTGAGTTGTAATGTATGTTGCCTTTTGTGCGTGTCATCACTTGTACTCAATCCCTCCATCCATAATTTAAATATATGTATTTCTAGAGTTTATTAAAACATTTCAAAAATAGCAATAGGGTTGTAAGAGCATCTCCAGGAGTGTTTCTAAAATTTACTATCTACAAATTGTAACGACCCGAATTGTCGTTCCAATTTGAACCTTGACCTAGCTCTGCGAGGACTCTATCGGAAGCACCCTGAGCTTAAGCAGTTGCTCACCTATGGAGATCCCTGGTGCCTTGAGCACGTATAACTGCTATGGACTGTTAGTTAAAACCACAGAACAGTGAAGAGAAGTGGAAAATGAGTTATTTTCCATTTGTTTTGCTTGGACCCACATGTCAGCACTAATTGGACTCTTCATCAGCTGAAGCCACTCCACTCCACCCACTCTCTCACTCGCTCACTCACTCATTTGCTACTCTCCCTCTCTCTCTACACTCGAGAACAAGGATGAACCCTAGAACTAGAGAGAAAAAGAGTTGGAGAAGGGATTGGAGAAGAAAAGGAAGAAGAGGAAGAGAAGCACCAACACCACCTCATGGACCTCTTCAATATCTTCCACTTGGTCAACGGTTAACTCAAGAGAAGTTTCTCTCATTTCTTAGATTTTTTTCCAAAGACCTAATTTGTGGTTTTTGGTGCAAGATTGATGATCTCTTGCTGGTGGTGGTTCCATCATATGTAGAGTAAGTTCAAGAAATATTCATCTAGTTCAATCACTCATGCATCCCTTGGATTTTCTTGTGATGCATCTTTTTTGGAAATTTTTGCAAGAGAAAGCTCATGAGTGGTCAATCCATCCCTTGGATGTGGAAACAAGGATTTGAAGAAGTTGGATCTTCAAGTTAGATGTCATGGAAGCTATCAAATCTCAGAGCTAAGTACCCAATCTCATTCTCAAGATTTATTCTCTCTTTTCTCAATTTTTGGTTTAATCCCAAATCCATAGTTGCACTTGGTAAACCTAGCTCAAAACCTAGCTATCTTGAGCCTAGCAAGTCACCCAAGCTACCCTAAAAATCCCTTGCATATGCATGAACCACGGCTTAGTACATCTAGGCTTAAACCCCAAGAAAACCCATGATAAATTATGAACATAGGTTCGTCGACCATTTGACGGAGAGTCCGTCAATCCAAAAGAGAGTCCGATAACTCATAAACTTAGCCAAAACTGATGACTAGAGCCTATACACCCCCTCTGAGTGCAACAGCGGAGTGTCCGTTCAATTATAAAACATTCCTTAGCCAACCCGAGAGTACCCGGCCTTCAGCGGAGTGTCCGTTGAATTATAAACAGGAATTATAGAGAACCTGAGAACTCCTAGTTCTTATTAGAGTGTCCATCAATTGATGCAGACCGTCCATTGAGAACTAAACATCAGAAATACCTAAGTCCTAGATCACCGGAGTGTTCTTTGGAACATTCCGCAAGATAATGGAGCGTCTGTCATCTTCGACAGAGAATCCATCAACCCTAGCAAAGCCAAACCTGAACCAAACTACCTCAGAGTCCAATCCAACGGAGTGTCCACCATTTGTAGCGAAGGGTCCGTCGGTCAACCTTAAGAGTAGGATTGATTAGAAACTTACCCAAGAGGTCAACAATACTAAACCATACATAGAGTAGAAATAATGCAATAGTAGAGCTAAGTATAGATGTCTCTTCCAAGTTCAAAATCAAAGTCTCAATCTTTATCTCTATCTCTTTATCGATTATCTCCAATTCCGTTCATCGTCTCTTGTAGGATTCACTACGAATGTGAGGAATGTGTGTAAGTCATCATCGTCAACTATGGTTGTTCGAACGGCATAACCAGCCAGGCACCCCACTACTATAAACCCTATTTTAGATACTTATCACACTTTTCATTATGAGTCTACATTTCATATGAATGTGATTAATAACTTAATATTGATTCATTAACTTAGAACTACTCATCTAATTAGTCCTAGCCTTCATTCAATAATTGGGTTGGGATTCGTTAAATTCTTATGCTTAGTTGCTTAGCTTCATAAGAAGATGAGTTTGAGAAGGGAACTCACTCTCGTGCGTGTAGGATGCTACACCAGGATAATTAATTACTAAAAATCTATGAGGGTTACACTTATGACTAAGGACCAATCCCAATTTGAAATACACTTATGATGATCAATTTGATAATCTCTACTCATGCGAGGCATCGAGGGGTAAGGTCACTGTGAGTGTTGGATCTCAAGTGACGTAGCTCGTGGAGTAATTAAGGACCGTTCATTGGGATAGTGAGTCCGAGTAACCATCCGTACAAACCTCATGTCACAAATGGGGGCGACAAGCCAAGTAACTAATTACGACCGGTCTAACCATGAAATTGGCATGAGGGTGGCACTGGGTAGATGGTGGTAGCATTACCCGAGAGCTTATCAACCCTTTTGTGGATATTTTAGCCAAATTAGGGAAAGGTTGGAGACGTGAGGCAACCATTACCCTTGTACACGGGTGTTAGTGTTTCGTAAACCGGACTAGTAAACTTATACGATTGTCGCACTGCTCTGAGAAGATGATGGTAGCATCTAAAAGACACGAGGATTTATACTGGTTCAGGCCAGAGCCCTACATCCAGTCTCAGCGATGATCGAGTGCGTGTTCCTCGCTTGAATGCTCTAAAGTTCTTACAATAGAGGGTGAAAGAATGGTGGAAGAGGTAGAAGAACCTATGCTAGGTGATGGGCTGCCCGAAGGGAAGCTCCAGGAGCCCTACTACTAGGAGGAATGAATGAAATGGTAGAGGATTCAGAATGTCTGGAAAGGGTGCCATGGTTGCCCTTATATAGAGTTTGGGGCTAGGGCACATACAAAACAGGAGGTTCTCCCGACCAAAGGGTCGTGAGCCTGAGGGAGGGCCTAGCTAACTTGGCTTGCAAGCTACGCCGTCTTGTGGAGCACATCCAGACATGGCTGTCGTTATGGTATTGTGGCCATGTCACGGCATGATGTGACGTCGTGCTACTGTGCTGGCCATGGTGGCACTATAGGCACGATGGTGGTTCGTCAGCCGTCCTGTACGACATGGTCTCCGCCATGGTCTTCATCATCATCTCCTAGTTTCCTGGGGTGCCGTACAGGAGTTGGTGGCCACCCTTGGGTCGTGGATCGCCTCATTGTCTTGAGGAGTGGGGGGCACGACCCCTGTCGCTGGGATCGTGGTTCCCGGATGGCCTCTAAGTCAAGGTCCTCGTCATGGATCCCGTCCTGTATGAAAGCCCTAGTTTGGTTTTGGCTAATTAATAAAACCTATTTGGACTAACCCTATGCTCTAAGTGTGGATGTGAGATAGGTTGGTTCAACCCAAGTGAAGGAGCTAGGTGGCACTCATGGATGGAGATGGCCACATGACATAAGGATCATGGTGATGGTGTGAACACATGTGATGATCAAGCTCCAGAATTTGGAAAACAAGGAAGAAAAAAACAAAATGGGTTCAAGGCAAAGGTGATATCCATAGGGCCATTTTGTTTTCGGTGATCAAGACACTATAGAGAGTGCAATCACATTTAGGATAGATGGTTGTACTACTAAGAGGGGAACTCTTATTGGACAACTCGATCATCTAGTGCCACTAGGTGTTGGAAAACTTGCATATGCATTTTAGGCCTAGTGCACAATCGGCGAGAAAGTGATTAACCTTTGAGAAATGATAGTGAAAATGCTAATGCACTTGCACGTAATGGTGAAACACTTGTGGTGTTGGCACATTTACAAAGGAGTTGAAGGAGGCGAAGTAGGAGATGAGGTGTTGCCTCTGGGGGCACCGCCACCCCCTGTCCGATGCACCGCCACCCCTGTGGCCGTAACCACTTTGCCTTGGGCGAGCAGCCAGTGTTGGCGCTGGCACCGCCAGTGGTAGTGTGCACCGCCCTGGCCTATCCGGTGCCACTGCCATTTTTATCCAGGGGCTGGAGGAACCAGCAGTGGGCACCGCCGCAGGCACCGCCACCCCTGTGACGGTGCACCGCCCCATTTTTCTAGAGGCTATGGAAAATGGGGGGTTGGCCTGGAATGGCACCGCCATGCCATGTCTGGTGCCACTACCGTGTGTCCGGTGACCCAATGGTCGTTGGTGATTGTTGGGAGCGGCACCACCACCCCATGTCCGATGACTGCACCACCATGTCCGGTGCCCCTGCAGAAACTGACTCAAAGGGGTAACGGCTCTATTTGGTTCTGGGCTTATAAATAGAGCTTGTGGCCAGCCTTGGCCACTCTCTTAGCACTTCTAACAGCTGTATACACCCTTTAAGAGCTGAGCACACTACTCCACTCACTTGCACACTTGATTTGATCATCTTGAGTGAGATTAGAGAGCCTCTAGTGCATTGCTTAATGGTCTATCATCTTGTGGCACTAGTTGGGCGATTTGGGCTGGTGGAGATCTTGTTACTCTTGGTGTTTGCCGACACCTAGATGGCCCAGTGATTGGTGGATCATCGAGCGGAGGAAGGTGATTGTCTCTATCTCCAATCATTGTGATTGTGAGGGGTTCTTGTGCATTCCCCGGCGGAGCGCCAAAGGCAACTCTAGTGGATTGCTCGTGGCTTGTGGATCCTCATCTTGTATTGGTTGTGCGGTACCCGGTTGCGGGTTAGGCATGTGATGCCTATTAGCGCATGAACCTCCAAGTAAGTGAATCGCCACAACGGGGTCTAGCTTGCCGGCAAGCAAGTGAACCTCAGAAGAAAAATTAATTGTCATCATTTGTCTTCTTGGTATTCATTGGTATTCATTGATTGATCACTTGCCATGGCGGTATACCACTCTACCACTCT